AATATTAACTATATAACAAATAAGATATCCTTAAAACTTATATATATTTTTTTGAACAAATTACAAATCGAGAGCAGAAGGAATTGAAACCAATCCAACCTGACTCAAAAGGTTGGAAATGCACCTATCAAAATGATAAAGTCACTAAGTTGGGAGGTCAAATGCAAGTAAAACTTATATTATATTATATTTTTTATGTAAAATTTTATTGAAACATAATACAATTATTATTGATTACTATAAGCCAAGCATCATTCACAAAGGAAAGAAAAAAAGTATGTTCATATAAACCTAAGACTTATAAGCTTACAAAAAGACACATTAGCTCTTGCAACTGTAATTGAATCTGCTAACACCAGACGCCTTAAAAATTGTCCGCATCTTCTATTCAAATATATATTTTTTATTATTTCGATATAAGATTCGGCGAATCCGATGTAGACTTTGGCATCTTATTTGCATAGAAATAGGAAAGGTAAAATACTCAAATTTTCCTTAAAGTATAATGGTAAGAACATATTTACCCTGAACAAAAAAAAAAGAAGATAAATTTACCCATAAAATTTTTAATTTAGACAAATTACTTCAATTTAACGTATAATGTCATCTGACGTCAACAAGTCGTTAATTTATTATGTTGTTAATAACATATTGTTAATGTCAGATGATATTAAATTGACAGATTACTGAGATCAGATAACGTCACATATTAAATTTGAGATAATTTTTTAAATTGAAAATTTCATAGATGGATTTATCCTTATTTTTTGTTTAAAGATGGATTTGTCCCTACCATTATACTTTGAAGATGGATTTTAGTATTTTACCAATAGAAAATTGATTTTAATATAATTTTTTTATTATTTTTTGTATAATTTTATATATTAGTTAAATAATCAACTTATTTTTTATTCATTTAGAAGTTATGATATTTTGGGGTTATTTGGCATAACGATTGAAATTTAACAGTTAGTAGATGGTAAATAATAAATAATAGATAATAGGTAGCAGTTCTTATTTAATGTTAATTGACAAATAAGGACAAATTTAAAAAGTAACTAATTTCATTACAAAAAAAAAGTAACTAATTTTGTTTTTTTTTCTTAATTCTTAACCTAAAATAATTTTTTATTATTATTGTTGTTGTTTGCTATCATCATCGTCATCATCATCATCATTATTATTATTTATAAATGAAACATTCTTTTGTTATTTTTAATGAAAAATTAATTTTAAAATTTTAAATACCTATTAATTTAATAAATCATGATAGGAAGTGTAGAAGAAGAAAATATACCTTGTTGACAAGCCTTAGGTTTTCTTGAATTTAAAAAGAAGTAAATTAAGAAGGTTCTGCACTTAAATTTTTATTTTATACATAATTATTTTATGAGTAAACTTATTATAATAATTAAAAATTTTCAATCTATTAGTAATTTGGAACAAAAGGCTACTTTGAGGAGCTTTTTCAATTCACTAATGGGTTGAACTTTAACCACTAACTATTACAGTTAAACCATGCTAAAGAAAACCTTTTATCAAATATCAAATGCATAGCGGTTTGTGGGGTGAATATATTACCAAACACTTTAATGTAGCAATTTAGACGAAACTATTAACTGTTACCTTCGAATCACTATATCAAATAGCTCGTAAATATATCTATTTATTAAATAATATGTAAAAACTATATATAAAAAGTATTCTTATATTACTACCCATAGAAATAACAGCGGAAAAAAAATTTGGTGATTTTGAATTTGATGTACTATTGACAATTTTTTAATACTCCTAAATTTTGTTGGGTCAGCTAAAAAATTAGTTATTTGTCATATTTGATTTTTTTT